CCGATATGAAAAGACTTATGGGACAACCTAATATTTATGATCAAATAATGGGGCAATAAATAAGTAATGTAATCGATTAGAAAATATTAGTTCATGAAAAGAAAATCAAGCAAATAATACAACAGCAATTTTCTACAGAATGAATTAATAACTGAAATGAAACAAAATGCGTTAAATAGGAAACACTTAACGGTTGTCGGAACCAGTACCAATAGATTATCATTGCACAAACAAATATTCAAAGACAATTGTGAAACATAAAAATATGTGCAAAAAGGAATCAAAGAGAAACTCGTAAATCTGCATAGAAAGACACTTTGTGATTAAATCAAACAAAAATATTCAAAGCGGTGGTTCCTTGAGTAAACGCCGCTTCTCAGCTGCACTGTTTTTTGATTCATTCTCTTCATCGAAGTTTGAAATAGCTGTATCCGTGGGTTCTAAAAGTAAAAGAATGGTTAAACTTTGTATTCATAAATGCTAAGCGTTTATGCGTACCGGGTTCCATCATCAGCGCAAACTCTTCCGACGATCGGCTTTCCCGACCATGTTTCAAACCAGAGATTTTCATCCGATAGCTAAATGAATAAGCAATAACGAGTCACCTAGATTGTGAGGACTATGAGTGTGATTATTTTGTATCTACCACTCTCACATTTTCAAGAAAATTCTCACCTGACATTTCTATCGAGTGGAAAATGCTGAATGATGAGTGTTTCTTGTGTTTCCGTTACGTTCACTGCTTCGTACTTCCAGTACTGTTCACTAAATTCTGGCCGCACATAAATCACGTAATCCTAAATTAATGAAATTTGGAGATTTCAGGCAATTGAGCCTGGTTACCTGGTAAGCATGTTTTATAGGTATGTGTACAATCAGTGAAGTGTTTTGAAGGTAAGCCGTCACATTCTGTGGAGCAGGAAGTTCTTCAGCGATGTTTATGTAAGTATCAAACCATGAGACCTGAAGGAGATCTTGTTTGAATGAGAATGCGGACAAGTTTAGGCCGCGTTTAGAGTTGCGCATGTGCCGGCGTCGTGCCATCGCTGTGCCAGA